CTACCTCTAATTCCAAACACAGCTCCAATTTGGCATATCAAAGGTACATATTTAAGAACTCAGAAGGAAATGAACACATAGAACTGAACTGGTAAGAACGGGAGAAAATAGGGCATGTTTCCTCCAGGATCTGATAGCTGAGGGAGAGCTAGAGTAATAAGCACTTTACTGTGAACATCAGTAGAATTTATAATCTTGAGGGGAAAAATTATGCCTGGTAATTGATCCTTAGAGTAGTTTGAGTTTTAAATAAATTTCAACCTTATCTCCCTTTGGAAGAAGATAAGGAGGATACACAGAACCCAGAAAACATGACCTCTGGGTTGTTTACACATGATAAAGGAACAAAGATTAACTAGTTTCTCTCCTAGCATCATGGGAGATGGGAAATACCTACCCTGGTATGTTTTTTCACCAATACCATAGTGATGATACTTTATCCTATTATTCTGTGGATGCAATAGATATGGTCTGTTTCCTCCCCCAACCCCCCCCCCTCCCCCCCGCTTTGTGTTTTTTAAAAAGTGAAAATAAGTGATTACCACATGAATCAATCAGCATAGTATAGTGTTAGGAGCTGTACAGTACACTGTTCGAACTCTCAGCCTTTTGCTGGCTGTGTGACTTTGGGTAAGTTGCTTTATCTCTCTGTGCCTCAATTTCCTCACCTGTACCATGGGGATTTCTACAACAGTCCTACCTCAGAGGGTTGTTGTGAAAATTAAGTGAATTAATATATGTAAACTCTTTTCAATAAATGCTAGCTATAATGAAAACCAGGACAGCACACTGACATTTTTATCAAATTAGCTCAAATTAATGGATAATATATTTCCTTCTAATTAATACTGCTTTAAAAATACCAGAATACAGTTTTGCTGGTAAGCAAGACATGGAACGCAGGATGATGACTCATTGCCAATGATCATTAAGATCTTGTCTTGAGGTTTTCTTCCTTCACAATGCAAGCAATTCAGCCTTTCCATTACTTAGGTCATCAGGAAGCATGTCAGGGAAAACACACATATATTAAAATAAAATTTACGGGAGCAAGTATCTGTCAAGTCCTTTGAGCCACTTAGAAAAGAGGGCCCCTTAAATCCTGTTTTTTCTGTTCCGACAGTTTTTTTTTTCCTCCTCTGCCTTCTGAGGCTTCTCTACTGCCTTAGGAAGCTGCTTTGCTGAAGGCCGCAGACCCGTAGGATGGGGGAAGAACCTGGGAGGGCTTATCTTCCCTATCTGGAGCCTCCATGTCCTGCACCTAAACCCTTGGGTTCTTTCCTTGAGTAAAGTGAAGAGAAAAGAGTTTTAAAACCCAGCAATATCTATTAATAGTTAAACCTTTAAAAAATGTCTCATTTTTGTTTCATTTTGTTTTTATTTAGTGAATTTTACATTGTCAATGTTAAATCCAGGCAGAATTCTGGAAGAAGAAATGACTAGGTAATTGGCTAATATATATATATACTCTTTACCTTTTGTTATACTCTTTAACCTATTATTATAATTTATACCACCCCCAACCCCACCATTTGAAGTAAGTTGCATACAGCATGACCTTCACTAATAAATACTTCAGTGTGGATCTTAAGAATAGGATATTTTCTTCATAACCATAGTACGGTTATCAACTTCAGTAAATTTAATATTGATATTCTACTTTGATCTAATCTACCACCTGCATTCCAATTTTGTTAGCTGATCCAATAATGTCATTTATGGCATTTCCCCCCTATTTTAGCCTTCTTAGTGGAAATCTCAAAAGCCTGTAACATAATGTTTGTGTGTTTAACATATCAATTAAAGTTGCTGATATAAATGAATACTATCTGTATGTGATAGCAGGCCTGAAAGGCTCTATCTGGAAGATGTTTGTAAAATTGTATAAAAAGTGTACTTGAAATTATTCAAACTGAATTTATTATTTTTAAAGATACTAACTTTCGCCCTAGCCCGTTTGGCTCAGTGGATAGAGTGTCAGCCTGTGTGGACTGAAGGGTCCTGTGTTCAATTCTGGTCAAGGGCACATGCCCGGGTTGCGGGCTCAATCCCCAGCAGTAGCGGGGGGGCAGGAGGCAGCCTATCAATGATTCTCTCTCATCATTGATGTTTCCATCTCTCTCTCTCCCTTTCCCTTCCTCTCTGAAATCAATAAGACAATATTATAAAATAAAAGATACTAACTTTCCTCTAATTTAGTTAAGCCCTCACTCCAAATTAATATAAAATTTTAGCACACTATTAAATAACCCCCCCCAAATTCTGCCAAATAGAAAGAGGGTTTTCTTGTTTCTTTGTGTGAACAATATGAGAAAACTTAACTAAGAAATATTTAACATGGTCAATCTGTTTATTCTTCATTTGCAATATGTTGAAAAGTAGTGAACTTTTTCAGTACAAGATATGCAAGTCTAGAATATTAATTGTAAAAAAAGAATCAAATTGTATCTATAAATTATCAATATCAGTTTTAAAATGATTCATTAACATCACTATTTTTTGCAGTTAGCCAAAAAAATTTATCTGGTTTCTTCGGCTGATAATTCAAGTAAATCAATTTGCCTTCATCTTCTTATAATCTAAGAAAAGTAAAAGAAACTTTAATGTGTATTTGTTTTAATGGCCTACATAATTTTATTTATTCCCAATTCTAAAGATTACTCCTGAAAGAGATGAATAAAGAACAGTATGTAAAAGAAACTTTCTAATTATTTTCCAGATATGCGTATTATTACTCAGGATTAGGTGCTGCAGTTCTCATTGCTGCCTATATACAAGTTTCATTTTGGACTTTGGCAGCCGGCCGGCAGATTAGGAAAATTAGGAAAGAGTTTTTTCATGCTGTTCTCCGACAAGAAATAGGCTGGTTCGACATCAACGACACCACTGAACTCAATACACGGCTAACAGAGTAAGTGTATAGTTAATGTTATACTTGTGTGAAGAGATTAACCACTAACTGTGAACATTTGTCATGGGAGGATTTTTAAATGGAAAAAGTACTAGGTTAAGTATCTGATAAAACACCAAGAACAGATAGATGATCTGACAGCGATTTCCAGCACTGACAGCCTATGCCACAGCATATTTTCTTTTTTTTTTTTTTTTTTTTTTTTTTTATTTTTTTTTTATTTTTTTATTTTTCGCTTAAAGTATTACAATGGGTATTACATAAGTGTCCTTTTTTTTCCCCCCCGCCCTTGATAAACCCCTACCCTCCCTTACCCCCCAGTGTCTTATGTCCATTAGTTATGCTTATATGCATGCATACAAGTCCTTCGGTTGATCTCTTACTCCCCTCCCTCCTGCCCCCCAACTCTCTCTGGCCTTCCCACTGCAGTTTGGCAATCAGTTTGAGGCAGCTCTGCCTCTGTATCTATTATTGTTCAAAAGTTTGTAATGGTCTTTATTATCCATGAATGAGTGAGATCATGTGGTATTTTTCCTTCATTGACTGGCTTGTTTCACTTAGCATAATGCTCTCCAGTTCCATCCATGATGTTGCAAATGGTAGGGAGTTCCTTCTTTTTAACAGCAGCATAGTATTCCATCGTGTAGATGTACCACAGTTTTCTAATCCATTCATCTACTGATGGGCACTTAGGCTGTTTCCAGATCTTAGCTATGGTGAATTGTCACAGCAAATTTTCTTTATCTGTTAGTTTTTCTCCTTACTTATAGAGTAAGTTTATTTGAGGACTGAGCTTACATCCTGTATACAGTGGGGCCTTGACTTACGAGTTTAATTCATTCATGACGGAGCTCGTAACTCAAATTACTCGTATGTCAAATCTTAAAGTGAACAAGTGAGACACGCGATGCTGGGCTGATGTTGTGGTGTTCACTGTGACGTTCGCTGTGCCAACTAGCGGTCGGGTATCTGAAGCTGGCTCGTAACCCGAATTTTAGTTCGCAGCTCAAAGCAAAAAATCGGCCGAGAGACGGCTCGTATCTCAAAAAACTTGTTAGTTGGGACACTCGTAAGTCAAGGCCCCACTGTACTTGTTTATCTCTCATGGAGCTTACCACACGGCCTGGCAGACGTTACATACTCAATTAAGATGGTTGAATGAATGAATTCATGATTGAATGAATTCACAAAGACGCTCTTCTTAGTAATTGCTGACTCTTGACTTACTCATCCATTTGAGGGCCTACTATGTGCCAAACACGAGGTATTTGTGATATACCCGTGACCCAAAGACCTCTGCCATCTTATTGCTTACATTCCAGTAGGGGGAGATAGATGACAAACTTTTCTTACTGGAGGTCCTGGGGAGAGTGGAATGAGAAAACGAGGTCAAAAAGGAGTGAAGGTCAAGGCATTTGGGACCTGGTTGGCCTCAGTAAGGACTTCATCGTTCACTCTGAGTGAAATGGGCAGCGATGGCGCATGTTTTGATCCGAGGAGTAGCCTGTTCAGACTTCCATTTTCAAAGGATCACACTGGCTGCCGTGTTGAGGATCGAGTGGATGGAAAACAGGGCCAACGGTAGAAGGAAGGAGCACTTCCCTATTATCGTAATGCTCTTCCTAACTTCTGCTTTTAGTCAGATTGGCTCATCTTCAGAATGTTAATGCTTCTTGTATAGGATTTATGAGTTTAATAGCATCCACTTTAATGATATTAATGTCTGAGAAGCATGAACTAATCCTGAATTTCTTCCTTTGTACAGTATTTAGGTGGGGAAAAGATCATTCGAGAGGCTAAGACTCTGAAAGAGGCTTGCAGTGTCTGAACAAGTCTGACCTGTCTGTGTTTGTTAGATGTCTGCTTCACCTCTCTAACTGAAGACCTCCTGCCTGTAACCACTTAGGTGTGATCTTTTTTAGTGACATCTCCAAAATCAGTGAAGGAATTGGTGACAAGGTTGGAATGTTCTTTCAAGCAATAGCCACGTTTTTTGCAGGATTCATAGTGGGGTTCATGAGAGGATGGAAGCTCACCCTTGTGATAATGGCCATCAGCCCTATCCTGGGACTCTCTGCAGCTGTTTGGGCAAAGGTATGTGAAACGGGGGCATTTTCACGTGTGTGAACCCACACCTGCCGTTATTTGAAAGATGCGGGATCCCAGTGCTTGTAATTGTGCAAATCGGTGTTAAATGTCAGCCGAAACCACATTTCGAAGCATGTTGTTAATCTGGTGCTTTACTAAGAAAATTTATTTCGAATGTGATTCAAAATGTCACCGTTTTTACTTCAGTTACAGATTTTTTACACTGCTGTTATTTCTTTTTTTTTTTTTCTGTTATTTCTTTGTTAAATTTTCTGGTACAATATCTTAAATGACATATAAGGTTTGTGTCCTTATTTGAGGAAACACAATTTTAAAATATAACACCTCTGAACTATTCTGTGATTATAAAAAATTTAAATAAAGTTTGGATTGATTGATTTTTAATTGTCACATTGACAATTGAGTGGCACTCTGCCACATTTGCCTTACAGTAAAATACACATAACCCGTTCTACTTCAGCCACAGGTGAGAAATTTTACCGGCATTTTTTGCTCACTCTGGAATTGATCATTTACTTAACACATTGTGGACCAGTAGTTTTATTGCTAGCTTTACCCAGTGGCCAGATAAGTTTCTATTGAACGAGTACAAAAAACGCTTTACATAAATGTTAAAGGCACGCTTTAAAATTAAATACCGCCGTAACCGGTTTGGCTCAGTGGATAGAGCATCAGCCCTGTGGACTCAAGGGTCCCAGGTTCGATTCCGGTCAAGGGCATGTACCTTGGTTGCGGGCACATCCCCAGTAGGAGGTGTGCAGGAGGCGGCTGATCGATGTTTCTCTCTCATCGATGTTTCTAACTCTCTATCTCTCTCCCTTCCTCTCTGTAAAAAATCAATAAAATATATATTTAAAAATAAAAATAAATAAAAAATTAAATTAAATACCCATTGCATTTTGAAGTTATTTATTACATGTTCTTACAAACTAACATCTTTTTAAAGTATGATACTTTGTAAAACACTGTGTAATATGAAGTGGAACTGAACAAAGCTGGCAAATTCTCGTGATCCGTCCACAATGTGTTAATAAACTACTGGTATCTATTTTGTTTTTATTCTTTCCTTTATCTTTCTCCCACAATATCTTGTTAGCCATCTTATTATTCAGTAGAATGCCCAGAAGTACATCTGGAAATATCCTTTCATAGTCATTAAAAATCATGGCAAAATTAAGGAAAGGATGGGCAATCCTTTCAAAGCAGTAAAGTTTTATTTTCATTTATTTTGCAATCAACAGAGAAAAAAACCGTAGATGTGGAACTTGAACTGTTCCCAAAAACGCGTTCTAGAGAGTAACGTGTGGACTTCCTTTTCCTGACTGCTCTTGGGGAGCATGTCACGAGGGTGGATCTGAGTGGCCTGTGTAGAGTGGAGGAAGCCCCTGCTGGCGCACTGAGTGCCGTTTGCTTCATGACTTCCGTGTTTAGTAGAGGATAGGGTTGGGGGAGAAAGAGTAACTTTAAGGGTTGGCCTTTTAACGTCCCTCCCATACAAAAGTCATGAATGTTTCTCTCCTGTCCAGATACTCTCGGCATTTAGTGACAAAGAACTAGCCGCATATGCGAAAGCAGGCGCTGTGGCAGAAGAGGCTCTGGGCGCCATCCGGACTGTGATAGCCTTTGGGGGCCAGAACAAAGAGCTGGAAAGGTCAGGAAGGTTCTTTGCACACTTGCACATTTTGTTGTTCATTCTTTTGTGGAATGTGTTCACCACTTTCCTTTTCCTCATATTAAAACTCCCCCACAGTAGACAGGAACCTTCACTAATGGCTCGAGTTTAACGTCAGATTCTAAAACAGGGTTCTGACCCTCTATGTCCCATGGACTCCTTGGGCAGTCTGATGAAGCCCATGGACTCCCTCCTTAAAATAATGGTTTCAAATGCATAAAACAAAATAGGATTACAAGGGAAACCAATTATATTGAAGTTCAATTATCAAAATATTTTTAAATTGTAATCTAATAAATATGTCTCTTTTGTTAACATATATATATACACAAATATAAATATAAAAGGCTAAGTGACTGACCATACGTCTCTCTGACCATCTAACCCACCAACCAGTACATATGACACGCACTGGGAATTTAAAAATAAACATTGACTCGTGCATGCGCGATACATATAAAGCTCTCGCTGGTGCCAATTGCATGCGTGTGTTTCAATCTGTCATTGTCGATCATGAATTTGGTTGTTTTTGTTGACATTCAACGTGAACCGCATCGTGATTTATTCATTGACTGTCCGACCTACTGACCGGCCGATACATATGACGTGCACTGGCAATTTAAAAATAAACGTTGACTCGCAGTATATGTACTCTCAATACATATAAAGCTCTCGCTGGCACCAATCACACACGTGTTTTAATTTTATAATACTATATTATATATACTATTTTGACATGTAATTTTTTGCGGTAACATAATTACTGCACAAATCTTTCTTCTAATTAATTTCTTTAAATGTGCACAGATTCGTGCACTGGGCCACTAGTTAAATAATAAGAGCTAACCATTGGTCTGACAGGTACTCTAGTTCTGAAGTCGGGGTGT